ATTCACAGGAAAATGGAAAAGGTACAGAGATTTCCCTTATGTTCTTGACCCCTTACATGGATAGCCTCCCCCAATATCAACATCCCCCACCAGTTGATCATCCCACAGTAACACATCATTATCACCCAAAGTTCATAGTTTACATTAGGTTGCACTCTTGGTGGTGTTTATTCTGTGAGTTTGAATAATGTGTAATGACACTTATCCATCATTATGGTGTAATACAGAATTTTTTTTGCTAAAAATCCTCTTTTCTCCACTTCCTCTCATTCCCAACTGCTGAAAATCACTGATCTTTTTACTGTCTATATAATTTTAGCTTTTCTAGAATGTCACATAGAATCATACATTATGTAGCCTTTTTAGATTGACTTTTTTCACTTAAAATATGCATTTAAGATTCCTTTATGTCTTTTCATGACTTGTTTGCTCATTTCTTTTGAATTTTGAACAATATTCTATTGTCTGCATGTACCACAGTTTATTTATCCATTCACCTACTAAAGGATATCTTTTTGGTTGCTTCCAGTCATTGGCAATTATGAATAAAGCTGCTGTGAAAATCCACATGTGGGGTTTTATGTGAACATAAGTTTTCAACTTTTTTTGAGTAAATACTAAGAAGTGTCATTGGTGGATCTTATGGCAAAAGTATGTTTAGTTTCATGAGAAAATGCCAAACTGTCTTCCAAAGTGGCTGTGACATTTTGATTCCTACCAGAAATGAATGAGTGTCTCTGTCATTCCACATCCTACCAGCATTTGGTGTTGTCAGTGTTCTGGAGTTTGTCATTCTTATAAATGTGTATTGGTATCTTATTGTTGCTTTAATTTTCATTTCCCTGATGACATATGATATGCAGTATCTTTTCATGTGCTTAGTTGCCCCCTGTTTGTATTCTTTGGTCAGGTGTCTATTAAGGTCTTTGGCCTACTTTTTTCTCAGCATTTCTTTTAAAAAAATTTGTTAAAAATTTTATTTATTTACTTTTAGAGAGAGAGGAAGGGAGGGAAAGAAACATCAGTATGCAAGAGATATACTGATTGGTTGCCTCTCACACGTCTCCAACTGAAGATCTGGCCCAGAACCTGGGCAAGTGCCCTGATGTGCCCTGGGAATTGAACTGTGACCTTTTGGTGCACAGGCTGGTGGTCAATCCACTGAGCCACACCAGCCCTGGCTGGACCATTTTTAAATTGGGTTTTTTCTTATTCTTGACATTCAGTTCTTCGCATATTTTAGATAACAGTCCTTTATCACATGTGTCTTTTGCAAATCTTTTTCCTCCTACAGCTTCTCTTCTCAGTCTCTTGATACTCTTTTACAAAGCAGATGTTTTTAATTTTGATAAAGTCCAGGTTATCAGTTATTTCTTTCATGAATTGGACCTATAATGTTGTATCTAAAAAATCATCACCATGTGCAAGGTTATCTAGATTTTCTCCTATGTTATCCTCTAGGCATTTTATTGTTTTTATGTTTTACATTTAGGTCTGTAATCCATATGAGTTAATTTTTTTGTAAATTGTGTAATGTCTGTGTATAGATTCTTTTTATTTTTGTATATGGCTGTTCAGTTGTTCAGCACCATTGTTGAAAATACATCTTTTTTCCTTTGTTTTGATCATTTTGGAGGATCTTGTTTGTATTTAGGGTAAAATAAAGGTGAAATAACAGTAATACTTAGAGAGCGTAAACACCATGAGAAGTTGTTTAGAAATAGAGCTCTTTTTCTAAACTCTGTAACACATAGGGCTTAAAATCTTTTAAAAGCTTTTTTCTTTTATTTTTATTGTTGACACCATTACAGATATCCCTATATCTGTAGTGCCCCCTTTACTGGCCTCACCCCGGGCTCCCGCCTTTTCTCTGGCCATCATAATTTTTTTTTAATTTGAACTTTATATAATGGTTTAACATTGTCCCTTATTTGTTTTGTATTTAATTATGCCAAAACTAACTTATTTACATTCTTTATTTAACTTACAGTGTTTTTTTTTTTCTGGTTGAAAAATGCTTGTGATTCCTTAATTTTTTCTTTTAAATCTATAGTTTTAGTTGTTATTGGCCACTGCCCAGCCATAAAAACTCTTCCAGTCTAGTTCAACCATTTATTTATTTATTTATTCATTTATTTATTTATAAAGATTTCATTTATCTATCTTTAGAGGGGAAGGGAGGGAGAGAAATATCAATGTGTGGTTGCCTCTTGTGCGTCCCCTGCTGGAAACTGGCCTGCAGCCCAGGCATGTGCCCTGACTGGGTGCCCTGACTGGGAATCGAACCGTGATCCTTTGGTTTGTAGGCCCATGCTCAATCCACTGAGCTACACCAGCCAGGGCCCAGTTCAGCCATTTAAAATGAACTGGAAATGGGTATGATTTTGATTAGCAGTTGTATTCGTTTCCTCCTGCTGCTGTAACAAATTGCCACAAACTTGGTAACTTAAAACAACATGAGTTTCCCCTTTTACTTTTCTGGAGAACAGAAGTCAGAAATGATTCTTAAGGGCCTAAAACCAAGCCGTTGATTTCTTCTGATGGCTTTTAGGAAGAAGCTCTTTTTTTTGCTTTTTCCAGCTTCTGGAGGTCATCCTCATTCCTTAGTTATTGGCCCTTCATCACATCTCCGTTTCTTTTTTGTTGTTGTTATCACATTGCCTTTTCTGACATTACCCCTCCTGCTTCCCTTATCAGATGCTCATGACTATATTAATAGGGGTCATCTGGATAATCCAGGACACTCTTTTATCTCAACCTTCTCAGCTTAATTAGGTCTGAAAACTGCCCTTTGCCATGTAAGGTAACATATTCACAGGTTCTAGGGATCAGGACCTGATCAACTTCAGGAGACTATTATTCAGCCAGCCCCACACACATGTATATAATACAGTACATGCTTTTTACTCCTGTAAACAGATTTCTAAAAATTTTGTTAAGAGTGTTCAGTTAATATTTACTTCTTCTTTTTGTAATTATGGTGCCTTATATGCCATTTAATTCTTTCTTTCTTTCTTTATTTTTTGCATTTTACCCATTTGTCCTTAGAAAATTTGTTTGCAAAAGACCAGGGCAACAGTAATTGTTTTAGAGTATTATGATTTTCATGTATACTTTCCTATTGATTTTGTTCACGTTTGTGAAATCATTCACCATTTTTTGGACTGATCTGGCAGATGTACATAAAAATACATCTTTACCATTTTACCTTAAACATTTAAAATTGTTCCTTATACTATTGCCATCGTTGTGAATCTTATGGTAACTAGGAAATGCAAAGAAGAAATTGTCAGGAAGCTTTCGGTTCATATGAATGTAGTTTTTTTCCCAGAACCTGGGCCTTATGAATTTATGTTTACAAAAGTGATTGTTTTAAAAACAAACTTTTTATGAAGAGAGTCACTGAAAAAGAAAAAGAAATTATAACAAATTTATTTGAAAATGGAGATATCATTAAGCAAATGCATGAATTTATCAGAAAATTTCTGTGTATCTAGAATATAGGTTATAGATTGTTGAGTGAAGATGATATAAATAATGATTGCCATTTTCTGAATTTTTACTTTAGTACTTTGCTAATGATTTTTAAAATATTATTTTATTGAATTTTCAGAACAACCCTTACAGTAGGTAGTATTATTATTATCAATATTTCCCAGTGATGATACTGAAGATGAGAAATGCAAAGGGATAAAGTCATGAAGTTGAATCTGTTCAAATTCAGTATAATTACATTCTTTTTACTATGTGATGATGATTTTATTTGGGAGGTGTTCATGAGCTCTGACATATAGTATATCCCTCTTCATTATTTCTGTTATTAACTTCACTGTTTAGAGTGATTTGTCTTTTGAACATTGCTTGGTCTTTTTACAAATAATCTTTATCACTAGTTCCTTCCAACATTTCACTCAATTTTCTACCCTGTTTTTAGGGTACTCTCCTACTGGTTGTAATATAATTAAGGAGATATCAACTTTCTTTATACCACTCACTGAGGTTGCATCCTAGTTGATTTGATTGGAATTGAATTTCAAAATACCAATCAGCATCATATTTATAAGTGAATCTCTCTAGCGTGCATTCCTTCTGCCTATGATTATTTACTTAATTCATGTTGATCTTTTAAGTTCCATTTTAGGAAGATAACATTCTGACCTTATTCTTTAACTTTGAAGCTTTCTCTACTGATGATCTATTGTCTATTACATAAATAACTAACTTTAGTAGTACATGGCACAGTTCTTTAATATATTAATACACTATGTATGGCAGTGTTTCCAGAGGTATTCTCCATCACCACTACCTTTTTTTGTTGTCGTTGCTTGAATGTGGATGAGTTACTTTGAAATTTCCCCTAGGGGTAGCCTCCAAGGAGTAAAAAGTCACAACAAGGCAACATGTGGACTATGTAGTTATCTAAAGGAGGGCTTGGAAAGTCTGCTCTCCTTATAGAGATGACGTTGGAAAGATTTGGGGGATTTACGCTCATTCCCTAACTCACAGCTCAGCCCAGCTTCCCCCAGATTGAAACACACACCCCTCACCATGTACAAACTGTTTGGTCCCAGGCTGTTTACTTGATTTGATTTATTTTACTCTGTGTAAAGATTTGACTCTAGCTATATTACATTTGAGATATGAAATAAATTTAAGATTCTGCTTCAGTCATGTTAATTCATTTTAGACTCTATGCTTCTGGTCTTAAGTGTCTATAATCTGTGAGATAGATGGTTTAGCTGTCAAATAAAATGAATGCCATAGATCAAAATATATTTGAAAGCATCTTGAATTTGGTTTTTGCTTCCAAATATTTTTCTTTATTTTGTTAATGCTAGCATTTAATAACTACTGTGAGGATTCAAAATCTGTTTAGTTTTATAATTCACTGATTTAGTAGGACTCACAAAGTTGAAAACAGAAGAACAATTTGGGTTTCTTTAAAGTCTGTATTTCTTAAAGAAGTAAGGATAATTAATATTTAATGTGTTCTTTTTTAGTATTGTGCTTCTGATAAGCCAAAAACAGACACTTGAAGAGCTGAAACAGTCAGTGCAGCAGCTGAGGTGCACCGAGCAAAAGTTTACAACACAGAAAGAATTACTAGAGCAAAAAGTGCAAGAAAATGATGGAAAAGAGCCACCTCCAGTAATAAATTATGAAGAAGATGCACGATCAGTTACATCTATGGTAAGCCAAAGAGTAATCAAACAAGAATTCTGAAAGAGTAGTATATAGGTAGTAAGTGAAGACAAAAGTTGATTCTGGTTTACTATAATAAATTGTTACTCTTGTTAATATGCAGGTCCTATTAAACTTGTTTGTAAATGCAAAGTAGACTTGTCAGTCACCTTCAGGTCACTTGGAGAGCACTTTCAGGAACCACCTGTGTAGAGTCAGAGGAAACAGTTCTTCTCTTGCCTTCAAAACTGAAAACAAAGACTGCAGTTGTTTTTATTCCTGGGAGACAGCAGGAAGGTAGGGTATTATTCTTAAGATAGAAGTAAGAAATTAGGAGTAAATTATTTATTGTTAATTTTTTCTTCTTAAGAGCAGCAGAATCTTATTTATCTGTGTTTTCACAATAAGGTTTTTTTTTCTTAAAAATATATTTAAACTACAATAAACACATTTAAGTTCACCAACTAGAAATTAAACTTATTTTATATAGCTTTATTAACTGTTTAAGAATGCCTAGTACAAAAATACTTTCCCTCTCTCCCTTCATTCTTTTCTTTCTTTCATCTTATGTTGGTGGTTTTCACCAAGGGGCAGTTTTATTCCCCTCACCCTGGAGCTATTTGGTAATCTTTCAAGACATTTTTGATTTTCACAGTTAGTAATTGCTATTGTTATTTAGTAGGTAGACTCTGGTGATGCTGCTAAACATCCTACAATGCACAGGACAGCCCCACCCTTCATTCGCCCAACAAAAAATTGACCCAAAATGTCAGTAATGCCAAGATTGAAAAAGCCTGAGCTATATCCTTGGCTTTTTATGTAGGTAGCTGGATGCAGTCTATATTCAGAACCATCATAGATGTTATAGTTAATATTTAATAATTTATAGTTTATATGGTTCTGAGTAGTGTAGTTTGAGTGTTAACGGCCAAATGTCTCATAGGAAAAAAAAATCTGTGTTTGAGAGTGTGATAAACATGAAAACGAATATGAAATATCTAAAATATTGTGATTATTGCTACTTTTGTTATTAACTGTGTCATAGTAATCTTTACATTATATTTTGAATTATTAATTATAATTCTTTGCTCTCTTTTACTTTCCTGTCAGATAAAGAGACCCTACTGGAGTTCTGTTCTTGCTTTATGATCCTGAATAACTGTCTGGCATGTGCATTCCTTCAGAGAAAACTTCAGAAAACTTCTGAAGTTTGTTCATTTACTTTGTTTTTGAAACCTTAGTTAGTAAATGTTTGGTTTTTTGATAATGTTTTCTTGTCTCCATGTGGGTGTTGAAAAATTATAGCTTCATTTAGAGGCAGGTAGGTTAAAACTGGCAATCTAACTTATTTTTAGTAATTCTGTGTGCATATGATCCCCTGTTGGCATTATTATTATGATAGAAAAAAAGACGTCATTAAAGTCACTACATGTAGCATATCTCCATTTGTTAACTACAACTAAAAACTTCATTTTGACATTTAAAATATACTAGTTTCCATGGCTGGTGTGACTCAGTGGATTGAGCACCCACCTGCAAACCAAAGGGCTGCCAGTTTGATTCCCAGTCAGGGCACATGCCTGGGTAGTGGGCCAGGTCCCCAGTAAGCAACATGAGAGGCAACCACATAATGATGTTTCTCTCCCTCTCTTTCAACATCCCTTCCCCTCTGTCTAAGAATAAAGAAAAACTTTAAAAAATAAAATAAAATATACTAGTTCATTAATTCTTATTTATTAGAACTCATGATCATTTAGGCTTTTTTATCTTTTATAATCATAGGACAGAAGCTTTTTAAACAAATAAATAATGTTTCAGAGAGAATTTATAATGAAGTTTAAACTCTATTTACATTTCAAACTGTATATACTTCCTGACACTTTCACATTTTTCTCTTAAAACGATTGATTCAATAATGATAATACCTTGTAAATTTTTACAAAGTGATATAATATATTTCACTTTACTGAATTTGTTTTAAATAGTTGAAAATCTAATTATAAATATATCATCTATTCATTGAAGCAGTGACTTGAATAATTCTTTAAGGAAATTACAAAGGAATGCTATAATGTACAGTTATACCTTGGTACTTGTCAGCTTCAGAACTCATCAAACCCTGTATATGCATTTTGATGAGGAAAAAATGTTTCAGCACTGGGCACTTGCTCTGAACTCCATTGCACTTGCTACAACTTGTATGAGTCATGATGCCACACTGCAAAAGAAAATGCTTCAGAACTCCTTGAGTTTGTGTTTGGTACTCTTCAGTTTTGTCACTTGTCACGAGTTCCAGAACCCATTAAAGATGAGTTCTGAGATACAACTATATGTACTTTAAAGTAATAAAATAACATTTTATAACTAAGTCATTCCCCAAATTAATGACAATTGATGTGATTTTACAGAGTATTTTATAAAACAAGCAGAAATATTTGTGATGCATAGTTTTAAAAACTTAATAAAACTTCACTTATACAGGAGTATGTGTAAGTCTATGTAAGGAGTCTATATAACTTTTTGCATAATGAAGCATTATTTTATGAATAATAGTTTTTTAAAAGCCTGAAATTCTTTATAAATTTTATCCTCATAAGTGGTGTAAAATTCCAACAAGGAAATTTAGTTGAATATTGCAAGAATTGCAAGAAATAAAAATCAAATTATTACGTGATGAAAAATAGTGAAAACTGGCTTAAATGTTATGAAGAGTAGAGAGACAGTTAACTATTCCACATGATCCTAATGAGTGGCAGAATTAACCAAATATGAATTTTTCAGGGGTGAATGCTTCTATGGAACTATAGTGCCTTAAAGAACTTATATCACTAAAAACAAGTGGGCCCTAGATATTATAAAAATTCCAAGGTGGTTCAGAAGTGTAATCAGAGTTCAGATTACATAGCCAAGTTAATAGATGTATTGATGTTTATTTTGGCAATGTAATTTGATGAAAACTAAGGCCCATCTATTAATTCACAGAAACCTTTAAAAAATGTTTGCAGCAGGTAATATAATCATCTCTGTCATGAAGAATTTTGCTTCTAATGGTGTCCTTTTTCACCATGTCTAATTTTGGCCAAAATATGAAAGAGAAACTGATAAATATGAAGTATTACACAATAATTATTTATAATGGGAGATAATAAATGCCAAGGTATAGGATCAGAGCATGTAGAGGGGTGCAGGTCTACAGGGTCAGAGGTTGGGACACAGTCTTAAATGAAAGTCCAGATAAGTAAGCATCATTGAGAATGTGACATTTAAACAAAGACTTGAAACAGGAAGCTATTAAGGGTACTTAATTTCTGCAAAAGGAGCATTCCAGTCAGAGGGTACATTCCTTGCAAAGACTGTAAGACAGGAACATATTTGGACTGTTCAAGGTACAGTAAGGTCTGAGTGGAGGGGAGGCTGAGGATACAGGGATACAATTAGAAAAGTAATGGAGAACAGATCTCTGGGCCTTGCAGACTCTAATTAAGGAGTTTGGCTGTTCCCTTTGTGAAATGGGAAGTCTTTGGGTTGGGGAGGAGGTTATGACAGAGGAATGACATGCTCTGAGTTTTGATTTAAATGGATCACTGTAACTGTGTTGAGAATATACTTAAGGGGGGCAAAGATGAAAAATGCTAACCCAGACAATAGGAAATGATGCTTTGATCAAGGATAATGGCACAGAAGTGGCATGAACTTTTCAGCTTCTGGATATATTTTGAAGGTTGAGCGCATGACATTTCCTGTGGATTAAATGTGGAGTATAAGAGAGAAAAGTCAAGGATTTCTTTAAGGTTTTTAGCAGAAACATTAGAAGAATGGAATTTGTTTCAAGTGCTTGACTGGAGCAGCTTTCATGAGGAAGAACAAGACTTTTCTTTCATAAAAACAAGTATTTGGGCCTGGAGTTCAGGAGCATGATTTGAACTAGAGCTATAAATTTCATATTGTAGGCATCAGATGGTATTTAAAATCATTTGACTGTCACCAAATGAGAGAGGATAGATAGGAAGAAGAAAGGGGAAGAAAAAAAGAAAAAAAAAAAAAAAAAAGAAAAGAAAAGAAAGAAAAGAAAGAAAAGAAAGAAAGAAAGAAAGAAAGAAAACTCAGCAGCCCTTTACGTTACAGGTCTAGGAGGGAAGGAATCACTAAGAAACTAAGAAGGAGAGACCAACGAGGTGGTAGAATGGAAATTCAAAAGAATTTGGTGTCTTTGAAGTGTTTTACAGGGAAACAATTTGGTACATGCTGGGTTAAGGCAAAACAGTTGTATAGACTACAGTAATTTTTTTAACTTTTAATATCAGATGCCCAAGAGGGGAAATATAACATGGAATACAGTGTCTTTGGAAATATTGGCCTAAACCCTTTTCCAGGAAGAGTGCTGAACGAACAGCCATACAGTGGATCACACTTTGGGAAGTGCTGAAATTAAAAGATAAATCCTTTCTTATGTAATTGGGTTATTGATGGGTTAAATGTGCTAATAATTCTGAAGGCATTTTGAGTGGTTTCAGTACTCTATAAACCCAAGGATTATTTTCTCTTCGGCTTCAGTTCTAGCTTGTCAGGGAAGAAGAATATACCTTCTGGGGTAAATCAGGAGGGTGAGCTCTTTGTTAGCTGCCCTAGATGATGATAGAAATACCTGAATTTTCTCATCCCTGAGTCAACATTGGTTGATGTTCCTATTCATTTTATTTAAAAACATCATTTTCCTTCATGTTTTCTTTTAGCTGCCTAGTTGTAAGAATATAAGTTTTCAATCACTATCTGTTGAATTGAGGAATTGGACTTCACCCCAAGTAACTTAGTTATTTTACATTATAAAATCATATGCTTTAAACCAACTGTCTCATAATTTTTTAAAGGGATGTATGACCACCTCATCTGCCAGGATTTTATGACACTGAAATAAGATAATGTGTGTAAACACATTTTGTACATTATAAAATACTGTTAAAATATAAAATTCCATTTCATTTTTTCTAATGTACCTTAGATCACATGAA